TAGACACTAATGACTGAAGACCAGGAGAGCTATGGGATGACAGTATGAACATGATACAGGATAGAAAGAAAAGACAACAATGGATGTCAGAAAAGACTCTTAAATTTGCTCTTGAGCATAAAGCAGCTAAAGCAAATGGAAGAAATAAAGTAAAAAATCCAAACAGAAAATTTCAAACGGCAGCTTTCAGACCAAGTCCATTTTTTATAATGAAATGTGTGAAGACATGGAGTTAAAAAAAAAAAGCCATGCTCAGCATTTCTCAAACTGAAAAAAACTGAAGAAATATTCAAGCCTTGACTTGAAATACTGAAGGATTCTATGGGTAAAATATTGAATGATACAGAAAACATCAGAAGACAGAAGGCATACAGTCACTATACCAAAAACAAACGGTTGATGTCCAACCATTTCAAGAGGTACCATATGATAAAGAGCCAATCATACTGATGGGAGAAGTCCAAGCTTCACTGAAGGCATTGGCAAAAAATAAGAATCCAAGAATTGATGAAATATAAACACAAATTGCAATGTTTCAACAAACTGATGCAGCAGAGGAGGTGCTCACTCATTTAGATCAAGAAATTTGAAGAGAGATACCTGGGCAACTGATTGGAGGAGATCCATTTGCAACCATTCAAAAGAGAGGTGACCCAAGGGAATGTGGAAATCATTTAACAATATCATTAATATTGTATACAGGTAAAATGTTGCTGAGTATAATTTTTCAATCTATAAACTCTGCAAATAATATATGAAGATGGATTATATGAAGAACGTACCAATATTGAAGAATATCATTCACAACCTGTGATATGCAGATGATACAACCTTGATTGCTGAAAGTGAAAAGGACTTAAAATACTGATAAAGATCAGTATGCACTGTAAAGAAAACAAAATCATCAGAAATGGACCAATCAACATCATGATAAATGGAGAAAAGATTGAAGTTGACAAAAACTTCATTTTGTTTGGATCCACAATCAACATTCATGGAAGCAGCAGTCAAGAAATCAAATGGCGAATTGCATTAGGCAAAACTGCTGCACAAGACCTCTTCAAAGGATTCAAGAGGAAAGATAACAGTTTGAGAACTAATGTATGCTTAACCCAAATCATGGTATTTTCAATAGCATCATGTGCATGTGAAAGTTGGACAATGAATACAGACCATCGAAGAATTGATGCAGTTGAGTTACAGTGTTGGAGAATATTAAAATTACTATGGACTGCCAGTTAACAATTGTGAGGATAAATGCAGGACTGGGCCATGTTTCATTCCATTGTGCATAGGATTACTGAGTTCAAGTCGACTGGAGGACACCTAACAACAATATGGCAGAAGGTATGTACACTGGAGTCTTGGTGTGGCACTGTAGGAAAATGCACTAGACTGCAAGGTTGGTTTGAACCAGAAAGTTGGCGGTTCAAACTCACCAGCCGCTCCCTGGAAACCCTATACAAGGTTGCTGAGCTGTCACTGACTTGACATTTAACAATAATGTACATTGGTGGCAATTTTCCTAGGACTGTTGCTGTGAGCAAACGTTAAGTATTAAGTGCTGTCAAGCTGGTTCCGACTCATAGCAATCCTGCATAGGTTTTCTGAGGAGTGGCTGAACCACTGATCTGGGGGTTATCATCAGTCCACTGCTTATCCACATGAGGACTCTGGACTACTCTAGCCACTGTTGAAAGCTGACTACAAATTAACACGCGCCATTACATAGAGGAGTGTGGTAGATTGTCATATGTTAGAAACCCATCTCGAGTTCGAGAGTTGCCCAAGATTACTGATCTAATTAGCGCCAGCAGTCAGCCCAGTTCTGATTGCTAATTTCATTCTTTTTCCTACACCAAATTGTCTTCCAGATACTGTGGGTCCAGCAATGCTCTGAGAAGGTAGAGGAATCTGAATAGAATATAATAGTTCAAAGGCGTCTTACATAGTACATCTATTACAACTTTCCATTTACACCTAAAATTTCTTCTGCGGGATCCATGACAGATGTTATTCAGTTTCTGTCTCTCGCGGTAAGCAGTGTCAGATTACCCCATAAGCAATTTGTTATTAATTTGTAGTAAATTTACATTTTTTTCACATCAGATTCTGCTTCTAGGCATTGCTAGCATCTGTCTCTCTCCCAAACTCACAGCACCTTCTTATAGAATCAACCCCTCTTTTCAAATTTAGAATCCCTGACAGGGATAGAGAACCCAGTAAACAAGGTAAGCACAGGTACACTTGTGCTTCCTTACTAATCTGTCATTAAGTGTTTTTTCCATGTTTACTTTGCTTACTCACCCTGGTGGTAAAATACTCATTAATCCTCAAGAGGCAGTTCCTTTCCTTGCTTGAGTAACTCAAGTTCTTTGTTACACTGAGCTCTGCCATCTTATAATTTTCAATTTATAGACCTAGTCCTGCTCTGAGAGTCAACGAGAACAAATTGTACTTGCCTCTTAAATATTCGAAGACAGCTATCATTCCTCAGACAGATAATCCTTCAGCTAGTCTTTGTGTTTCGGTTTATAGGACTCTTTCCAACTTGGTAAAACACCCCAGGATTTGCTCTAATGTGTGAATATCTTTTCATTTCATCCTGAAATGAAATCAATATTGGAGATGTGGTTTAAAAAGCACTTTGTACATTGAAACTACTTCCCCATGATGTATTATTTAGCTACCTAAAATCACATCAGTTTCTTAACAGTTGGGTCACATGTTATTTCTGATAAACTAAAATATCCAGATTTTTTTCCTCACCTATAAAGATCAGGGCCGGTGATACCTTTTATGATCGATTATGTCCCTAACTGCCTTGTCAGCCTCATCACCATGCCATCTTCCTCATATTCTCTCACTAGTGTTCTTACATTTCAAATGCAGAATCCTTCCTCTAGGCTTCCATATGCCGGTATTGCTCCCCAAACCAGGAGTGCTTCTGTGGGCTATCTTTGTCTGGTACATTTGTGGTCATCCTTCAAAGTGCTATTCAAATACCACTTTTTCATGGCGCTTTTCTTTACCCTCCCAAGAGTACCTTTCACCTATTACAATACCCTACAAATCAACTTCAGCCTTTATCAAAATATTAAGTCCTAGTATAGTGGTGTGGGTTAATGCGCTGGACTGCAATACCGATTTGAAACGCAAGGTTGGCAGTTCAAGCTCAACAGCCACTCCTTGGAAACCCTATACAGGGTCGTTATAGGTCAGAACCGACTCAATGGCACATAACAAAACATGTTACCAACTGGTATTAAAACATTTGGAGTTCTGGTGCAGTACTGTGGATTAATGTGCTAGACTACAAAGTTGGTTTGTACCGCAAGGCTGGTGGTTCAAGCTAACCAGCTGCTCCTTGGGAACCATATACAGGGTCGCTATGGGTCAGAACTGACTCAACAGCACTTCACAGTAACAACAACAATGAATTCTTGTGCAATGAGGTGTCTGTCTCCGCGGCTGTACTGGGAAGTCTTTGAGGACATGGTATATGTCTGTCTACTTTCCTTCTTACAGCCCCAGGAGAAGGTTTTGGGTGATTTAGACATTCAATTAATACTTGTTGAATGAGTGAATGCTAAATTAGTATGACCAATATTTTGATTTTCCCAGGTAATCAAAGAAGAGACTCAGTTAAATCCTGGATTGTATATTGTACAGAGCAGAAACTTTATAGGCTCCAAGACAATACTGAGAAGTAAATATCTCTCTGAAAGAAAAGAGTGACGAAAAAATTTAGAAAGCTATAGGATGGTGATTTTTTTTCATCCTTTTGGTGAAGGGCAGGGCCTTGAACCAGTTCATTCTGGTTTGACGGCATGTTAAGAACTTGCACTTTCACCCCAGATACAAGGAGACTTCAAAAAGTTCATGAAAAAATTCTGATACCTTTTAATTCCATTTTTCCATAAACAATTTGAAGCACCAGAATCTACACTTTGACAGGATCCCCATGCGATCCTTACATATACTGAGTCACCTGGAATTTATAAAGAATCATTCTGGGATCTTGTTAAAATGCAAATTCGGATTTAGTACATCTGGGGTGGAAATGCTGTTGTTAAGTGCCTTGAGTAGGTTCTGACCCATAGTGACCCTGAACAGGGTTTCCGAGGCTGTAAATCTTTACGGGAGCAGAAAGCCTCATCTTTCTCCCACGGAGCAGCTGGCAATTTCGAATTGCTGACCTTGCGGTTTGCAGTCCGATTCATAACCACTACGCTACCAGAATAAAAGCATTCAAAACCCTGGTGGAGCGTAGGAAGCATAGAAGAAGGCAAACAAACACAACTGAGTGATATATTTGTTGTTTTACTGTTAATTAGACACATCAGAACCAAAGCATTCACAATACTTGATATACTTTGAAGAAAATCTACTATAGTCTTAGACATAACCACAGAACAAGCAGAACAATTAAAACTACATAAGGCCTTAAAAGATATCCACAGTGTGTATTATTTCAATATTCATTCATTTACAAATTAGACTACATACCATTTATTTTATTTTTCTTTCATTGTTTTATTCAGGCAGGATTCATTTAAGGAAAGGCAACTTAGTAATTTTGTGTGTGTGTGAGCTTCATTTTTTACTATACTGGTTAATATAAAAGTATGAATTAAATGTTTTCTAATCTCCCATATCCTAGAGTGGATCCATGAAATTCTCAAATAGTAATCCAAAACAAAAGGTCCTACTCTTAAAAACAGTCAAAGTGAACCAGAAGAGGGACCAAATACCCAGACTGTGTGTGGTCCTGAAGAACTAATGGACCTGCAGGTTTTCAGAGTACCGCAATTCTACCAGATTAGTCAAAGTTTAAAACAACAGTGCATACAAAGGCATTCTTGAAGCTTGAAATGCCTTTTAAATAACTAAAGTGAAAATTTTAAGTAGTTGCCTCACAGTACCAAACTTAAAAATCAAGAGTTAAAGTTCAATGATATTATGACTTCTTGTTTACAAGGCAGGTAAACAGATGGTGGAAAAATTAAGACTTAAAACATCATTTTTTTTTTTTAAAGGAGAAAATGTATGATAACCAGAGAATACAGAAAAGTCAATGTATTTTACAATAAAATAACCATTCAAACCTCTATCCCTGTACAACAGGGTTGAGGTATAAACTCGAATGAACTTGTGTTTCCATATTGTTTTTTTACAGTTTATTCTATTTTGAGTACTTGAATTGTTTTAGATATACAGTTTTAGTTTTTAAAAGAATGATACTACATTTGTATACCAGGATAAGATTTAGTACACTGAGATGTTTTAAAAAATATTTATAAATTTGTTTCTGATATGCAAAAGCATTTGGCAATACTTTTACAGCATTTGATTTTATAGAATTAAAATTTCATACAGTACTCATTTTGATGTTAAAAAAAAAATTCACAGAAAAAATATAAATTACACAGCCTGACTGCATGATACTGTTATTTCCAGTTTCTAGCTCTGGTAATTAAAACCTTCATTAAGTCTGTTAACAAATCATTACCTGTACATTTATGAAGGCAACTGACATGATTTGTAAACAAAACCTTCAGGTTTTAATGTATTTACCAAGGAGTGCAGTTCAGTAAGGAAAGAAAACCCAGTATACGATTTACAGAATATTTTACAAATTTACCAGTTCCTGTGACACAAACTGTTTTAATCTTTCAAGATATTGTCCATAAAGTTCCACATCATTATGACCAGCTCCTTCAACCCACAGAGGCTCCACAGGTCTTTGGCAACGCTCAAACAATGCAAGGCCATGTGAAAAGTCAATGACTTCATCTTCAGTCCCATGAATTATTAATACTGGAGAGGTTATCTTAGAGATTTTGTCAATGCTGTGGGAGAAAGAGGAGAAGGGTGGAAATCAACAAATGAACGACATAAGAGAAGATAAAAGACATTCTCTGAAGCTATTTCAAACAAATAATTCAAATATCAGAACGCCTTTGGATCAGCTCAGAAAAGAATAGTCTCTGAAATTTCAAGTAACATTCAAAACTAGGGTACAGCATTGGACTGCTAGCTACACCAACGGCTGTTCACGTTGAAACTCACCATCCGATCCTTGGAAACCCTATATAGGGTGGGTAAGAGTCGTAATCGACTGGACAACACTTAACAAACCAGCACCTAAGATTATTTGAGGACATTAACTTCATACATTCTGTTTTGGTGGAAGGATTCAATGGCTCCTTTCTTACTACACCCCTATACAATATTTCTTTTTTACACGAAGAAACTTAGATTTCCCGGAAAGGAAACTAAGGACCATTAAGCATAGTTTTCATTCTTAGTACATGCAGTCCCAAGGTTAGGACTTTTACTGTTGTGTCCACGCACCATCACTGTGAAACAAATGAACCAACACCTACACACAACACAGTCTTCATCAAATCACTCTCACTTGTTGCACATACAATTTTTAATCACTGAAAAAGGTTTGAGCCTGTTTTTTACTCTAAAATCTACTGCTTTTAAGTCAATTTTGACTCATAACAACCCTATATAGGGAGAGTCCTGGTGTGGCGCTTTGGGTCAATGCGCTGGACTGCAAGGTCAGTTTGAATGGTAAGGTTGGTTTTTTAAGCTCACCAGCTGCTCCTGTACAAGGTTGCTATGAGTCTAAAGTGACTCAACGGCACTTAACAACATAGGGTTTCTCAAGACTTTACGGGAGCAGAAAGCCTCATCTTTCTTCTGTGGAGTATTTGGTGGATTTGAACAGACTTTGAGATGGTGGTGTTGTACTGTTGAGGGCCTTTGAGAGTTGATTCCGAATCACAGCAACCCTGCATAGAGTTTCCAAGGAGCAGCTGGTGAGTTTGAATTGCAACCTTGTCATATCAGTTCCGACTCTTATCGACCCTGTGCACACAGAATGAAACACTGCCTGGTCCTGTGCCAACCTCATAATTGCTGCTATGCTTCAGCTCATCTTTGCTACCACAGTGTCAATCCATTTTGTTAGGGGTCTCCCTCTGCTTGGTTTAACCCTCTACTTTACAAAGCATGAAGTCCTTCTCCAGGGCCTGATCCCTCCTTATAATATGTTCAAAGTATGAGACTGAAGTCTGATCATCTTGGATTCTAAAGAGCATTCTGGGTGTACTTCTTCCAACAGAGATTATTTTGTTCTTCTGGCAGTCCATGGTACTTCTTTTATTCTTCTCCAACACCATAATTCAAATGTACCAATTCTTCTATAGTCTTCCTTATTCATTCAATGTCCAACTTCCACATGGATATGAGGCTACTGAAAATTCTATGGATTGGGCCAGGCAAACCCTCAGTCCTCTTATGTACTCTTGAACCCTTTGAAGAGGTATTGTGCAGCAGATTTGCCTAATGTAATACATCATTTGATTTCTTGACTGCTGCTTCCATGAATGTTGATGGTGGATCCAGGCAAAATGAAGACTCTGATAACTTCAGTCTTTTTTTCATTTATGATGATGTTATTTATTGATCCAGTGTTGAGGATTTTTGTTTCCTTTACATTGATGTGCAACTCAAACCAAGGCTGTGGTCTCTTCGTTTTTGCTTTCAGCAAGCTAGATTTTATCATCTGCATATCACAGGTTGTTACTGAGTCTTCCTCTAATCCTGATGCCATGTTCTTCTTTATATAATCCAGCTTCTTGGATGATTTGCTAAGTACAGATTGATTAAGTATGGTGAAGAATACAACCCTGGTGCACACCTTTCCTGATTTTAAACAAAGTAGAGCTAATTAAAAGCCTTAAGATCTGTTCCGACTCATACAAATTCTACTTAGACTGTTGACACAGATCTCTCTTGTAATAGGGAACTGCCTATACGTGCAAACAACATGTCTTTTTTCACTTTTATTTGTTCTACCTTCTAGTTCCCTATTAAAATGACAGTATTATTTTTTTTAGGGCATAAAATCAAAACACACAAAATTTTGAAGCTGAAAAGCAGATGGATGTGTGGGGTAATGGTTTAAATGGATAGGAGAAAATACAATTATAATGAGATAGAAGGTAAAGGGAACAACCAACTCAATACACAGAATATCTCAGAAGGCAAAGGAACTTACATGAAGATGGGGAAATACATAAGGATTGGTTCAAAATCTGTTCACAGCTTCCTTCCCCTTTCATACAGCTGGGTAACTGTCCCTCACCCCCACCCCAAAAAAGCATAAGACTGGAGGTGTTGTGGACTGGGGGATTATCAGACAGAATTGTGGGTAGTGGTATCACAGAGATTAAGAGAGTGGCTTCAAAAAGTTTTTGGAAAATGGAATGAAAAGATAATGAAAACTGTTCATAAACGTTTTGAAGCCCCCTTTGCTTATCTCAATCCATGTTCCCGATTTGGTTCCCAGCAAGCTGGGGGAATTTGAAAGGAGTCTTCTTTGGAGGTTGTTATCTGCCTTAAAAGGAAAGACATATAAATAATAACATGTGAGGTGAGGTTCATTCCCTAACTAACTGGCTTGGCCAGATCACCCTATAGTGAAACTCACAAGCAACAAGCCTGAATCATTTGCTTCAGATCAGCTCTTGAGATCTTTACTCTTTCATATTAGCAAAGAAATCAAGAGAAAAACACCTCGAGTATTAGAGAGCAAAACCCCCCAGATTTTTAAAAAGACAACTTGGAAAGACAGAAACTACCTGGAGAAGAAATCTCAACAACAAATAAAAAAAACTTGTTTTAAAAATCCTTAAGGAAAACAAGGCATACGACCATAAAATCAGAATGAAATCTGAAAAATTAAAAGCACAATAGCAGAAACAGGGGAAAAACAACCCCAAGCCCAACCTAACTGAATAGTTCTGAGAGAGGTGAATAACTAACTCCCTCAGAAAGTACAGCAAAAACACAGAAAATAGAAAAGTCCATTGAAAAGGTCCTATATATCGAAATCATGGGAGTTTCAGAAATTAAAAAATGAAAATGGAAAAGAAATCATCAATTGAATAGTTAAAGGCTGCATCTGATGACAGAAAAATGCTTTAGTGGATCATTTGCTGTCAGAAAGATGATAAACAGTATAGGAATTAAAATCATGATCTTATCTCTCTGTTCGAAGGCAAGATAGATATTGACATATAAAAATTGTCAATAGAATCACCCTAAAAGTTCCCCCTTATCATTCCTAACATTCAGCTGGATAAAGAAGTATAATAAAATTTATGCTTCTACTCTACCATTTTCTAAGATGAAAACTTTTAAAAGACAAAACTTAAATTTCTCACAGCCTGGGAATTATATGGGAGCATTTACTATTAAGGTTATGCTTCCATAAGCTTCCCTACTGAAGTGACCCCTTACTGGGTAATAAGGGGAAGAAATTTGTTTTGAAATGGACTTTCCCTTTCTTTTAAAGAACCAAATGGTGACTTGGCTTTTGACTTAACTGTCATTCTCTCTCTCGTGCACACACACACACACACACACACACACACAGTCTTTGTAATGCTGCGGCTAGGGAAAGGAAATAATCATGAAATTTGCCTTTTCACTTTGAAAAAATATGCCATTTATTTTTTTCAACTACAAAGAGCGGCAGGTGGGAACTACCAATTTTAAGAAGCATGAAAGTGTAGTCTCCTTTACAAATCCACTAATACTGCATGTTTGCAGACTTTGGAGAGGTAATGATTCAAGTTCACTTAAGACATTTTTGCTATTAACTTCCTTTGTAAATTAGATATTATTAATTAGGCCTCATTCACTTACCCCTGACTCATTTATGCATATGTGCCTCATTTCCCTCTAGCTGCTCTTCTCCAGTATTGTGAGTTTCCCTCAATTGCACCATCATCCACTAGCCGCTCAAGCCAGACACCTGGGAGTCATTTTCAAGTTCATCATCTCTGGAGCATCCCACATTTGAGTCTTTGAGTCAATTTTATTTTATAAATTTATTTTTGTTTCTGATAAGTAGTGCCATGAGCACTTTTTTTTTTACTGGATTACTACCGCTCAAACATTTCAGCATCCTGACTGGTCTGCCACCACTCTCTTCATGAGCAAATTTTCAGTTTCTATAATCTATGTAAATGGAAATTCAAAACCCAGTGGACTGTCACGCATACCTTAAGTGATAGAAAAACATTTTCCTCATATAGTTTCTTAGAATCATACTATTTTGAATATTGCTACTTACTTTGGGAATGCATCAAAACAGTAGGTCTTCTTAGTATCAGGAAAAGCGACTCGCATTCCCGAGGTCAAAGGAGAATGAAGAATAACAGCAGCACTCTCGTACCGAGCAGCAAGATCCACAGATGGTACTGTCCCTATACTCTGGCCATATATAATCACATTTTCAGGACGAATGCCATATCTACAAAGGTTAGAAGTTAAAGAAAGAAAAACCGGGCTGGTATGAAATGTTCACTCATTTCTAAGGACTTATCTTAAAACAGAATGACTTAGAATGAGACAATGTGAACAAATTTAGATATAGATTTTCAGTTTCTTAGCAATCATTACCAGTGTTGTTAAGTGCCACTGAGTTGGTTCCAACTCATAGGGACCCTGAATAGTGTTTCAGAGTCTTTCAAATCTTCTTGGGAGCAGAAAACCTCATCTTTTTCTCCTGTGTAGCGGCTAACAGCCTGAACTACAGACCTTATGGTTCAGTGCTTATCATATGGACTCACCACACTCCCAATCACTACGTAATCAATGTAAAATAAATTCCATATTTTCACCTTTTTTATTTGTTTCAATTTCACCTTTTGAAAAAATAATTGCAGGTTTTCTAAAATTTCAGTCTTGGGAAGAAATAAGTATGTTGTTGTTGCTAAGTGCCATTGAGTCGGTTCTGACTCATAGCGACTCTGTATAGGGTTTCTAAGACTTTAATTCCTTGTGGGAACAGAAAGTCTCATCTTTCTCCTGCGGAATAGATGACAGGCTTGAACCATGGCCTTTGTGGTTCGCAGTCCAGTGCTCATTGTATGGAAAGAAATAAATATATTAAATCATTTATATCACTCAAAAGACATAAATATATTAAATCATTTATGCTACAGTAATTTAATCTAACATACTGTTGACTAAGTTCAGAATATATTTTATCAGTATTATAATGTATTGAGGTTTAATGAATTTTTAATGTTTATTTTCAATACAGCAGACGTTTGTTATTTCTTCACAAATCAAAAGTAGCCAATTCTATTTTCTGAAATTACTACATATTCTTGAAAATGTTACATTATAGCAGGGGGTTTCATAAAGTTCATGGAAAAATTCCATTGTCTTTTTCGATTCCATTATCCCACAAACTTTTTGAAGTCCCTCATATACTTAAGGTAAAGAATGTATAGTGTTAGTCAAGGACAAACTACTGTTTTTCTTGAAATTTACCTTTACTCACTCACAAAAGCTGTGAACTTGTGATTGAAAAGATGACAGATGAATGGTAACTTACAATGCCATCTGAATAGCGTTCATGTTATCATTTCAAGTGTGCTGTCTTATTTAAAACTACAGGAGATTTAAATGTGTTGACTCAGTGCGTACTGGGTACTTAATGGTTCAGATACTGTTCCTTGTTCCTTACATACAGGCGCAATTGGGAGATATTGTAGGTTCAGTTCCAAGACCACGGTGATTAAGCAAAGAGTGCAATAAATCTTTGGTTTCTCTGTGCACGAAAAAGTTAGGTTCATACTATACTATAGTCTGTTAAGTGTACAAGAGCATTATGAAATGGTTTGAAATAGTATGAGAATTACCAAAATGTGACAGACACAGAGTGAGCACTGCTGTAAGAACTGTACTGATAAGACTTGCTCGACACAGGTTGCCACAAACCTTCAATTTGTAAAAAATGCACTATCTGAAAAGCACAATAAAATGAGGTATACCTGCACAGTACTGCCTATACTGTAAACGACTTCTAAGTGCAGCTAAGATGCTACTGAAGCTATTTATATAACTGTTTTCAAACTAGGTATATGTGATATACCTACCCAGAGTTACTTCCAACCTGACCTACACAAGCAATTGTCTAAGAGGCTGGGTTCCATCTATCTACTCCAGAATAATCCTAAATGTTAGTAAACTTAGAAAAGCACTTATTTTTTTAAATTATTAAAATAACAGACCCAGCTGTATATACTTCATAGGGAGGAAGGAAACAGGAAAATGATCATTTGCTGTATCAGCATAATTCTTGGGGCTGTAGTAATGCTCTTGGTTGAATAGCTGCACGGTTGGAGGCAATTTTGGGCTTTTTGGTTAAAGTAAGCAATGGCAAGGTTCTAGAGACAGCTGCCAATTAAGAATCCAAAGACTCAAAGCAATAACAGAATTTCAGGATGGTACAAAGGAACCCTGGTAGCATAATGGGTTAGTGGGTTAGTAGTTGGGCTGCTAACCAAAGGTCAGCAGTTTGAATCTATGGAGAATCTTGCCACTCCAAGGGAGAAAGATGAGGCTTCCTGCTCCTGTAAAAGACTTACAGTCTAGTGCTTATCCTAGATTGACACAACAGAACTCCTTACCTTCTACTTTTGTTTTTTACTACTCAGAAGTATATTTTCATATAATTCCAATTAATTTCATAATCCCCTATATATACGAGTTTGCTATAAGAGTGTAACTTTATTATTATGTTGTTGTTAAGTGCTGCTGAGTCGGTTCCAAACCACACTGACCACCTTGGGCAGGGTTTCCAAGAACCGGCTGGTAGGGGCTTCATTTTGAAGCCCTTTCATATATCTTAAGCCCAGGATGAACCCCAGATTCAGACTCATAGTGACACTATAGGAAAAGGAAGAACTACCTCATAGGGGTTCAAGGTTGCAATGCAGTGTCTACCAAATGCCCAGCTGCTAACTAAATAGCTGGCAGACCCGATTGGCAGCTCTACAGGAGAAACAAATGGCACTCTGCTTCTATAAAGATACTGTCTTGTAAACTCTTTGGACTACTGTTTTACTCTGCCCTACAGGGTCACTCTGAGTTGGACTTGACTCAGCGGAGTAGGTTTATAGAAGGAGACTCCCATATCTCTCGACTATAAAGTGGCTAGTGGGTTAGAACCTCTAATCTTTTGGTTAGCAGTTGGGTGCTTCACCAATGCTTCACCAGGACTATTATATATCTTGCTGTTCTTATTGTGTGCTGTCAAGTTGATCCCGACTCACAGACTGCCCGTATAGGGTGTTCGAGTCTGTAAATCTTAAAGGGAGTAGAAAGTCTCATCTTTCTCCTGCAAAGAAAAAAAATTTTTTTCTAGAAAGATTATACCACCTAGCAAAACTAAGGAGGTTGTCATTGACTTCTGAAATAAAAAACACTTAAACATTAAATCAGAAACTAAGTTTTCATTATGCCCTCTCTCTTTAAAGTTTTCTAAAAGTTGGACAAAGTTACCAATGTATATGGGAAATACTAAAATAACTATTATAAGCTATTCAACTGATAAAATACACTGAAGTCATACAAATGTAATATTTTTGGAAAAAATTTAAGCATCTTAATGCCCATGGAAGGATAATTTACTTAAATCATTTATTGTAATATCATTTTTTAATACGTGAAGTCATCATTCTGTATTTTTGGAATGCAGAATATTAGATAAAATCTCATTTTTAGAGAATGAATGAGTACTTTAAAAATAGTTTTAGTAAGTTATCTTTAACAACTTCTAAGAGATAATTATATAAAATATTATAGTTCTGGTTTAGGATTTTCTTTTTCCTGATTTAGGATTTTAACAGAAAACAGGACAGCCTCTTACTCTAGTAATGACCAAGTGAATTGAATGCTTAACTAAATCACTGTTTTCTCACTCACTGGAAATGTTGCAACCTTAAACATTTTTATATCACACTTTCAAAAACTTAAACCAAACATCTGTCATCAGATTTAAATTAAAAACAAAAAAAATCACACCAGAACACTCACATGCATCAACATAGCTATAAAAAACCCAGACACTATATAAAGTTTTTTCTTTAATTTTATACATTTTTAAATGCAATCTAAAAGTTCAGCTATTTAATAGATGTACACTGGTAAATACAATCTCTATTTAGTAGTCTAACACATGTTGTAACAACTGCCACTAGTATGAAAAAACAATGCCAAACCATCATTACCTTGTCCTGAGCGCAAGCCAAGCAGCTTCAATATCTGCATAGAGGTTCTTCTCTGTCGGCTTCCCAGAACTTGCACCATATCCAGAATAATCATATGAGAATATATTACAATTGATCCGTGATCCCAGTCCTATGTAAAAGCTGCTCATCTGACCAAGATCAACAGCATTTCCATGTGAGAACAGTAAAGTGTATTTAGCACTGGGTGAGCAACGCACAAACATACAGGCAATTCTGTTGCCTTTACTGGTTCGAGTCATGAAACATTCAATGGCATCTTTTTCTCTAGAAGAGTACTGCCAGTCTGCTCGTTCTGATAGATGTAAAGTCCAGCGGCTTCCACTTTCATCACACATTAGTGTGTAAGTTGGATCAGGTGGCAAAAATGCTAATTTTGAAGCAATTTTTCCAGGACATGGTGGACAGCAGAAGAGGCAACACAGCTCACTAAAGGAAAGGTTATTCATCTTCTGGAAGAAAAAAAAAAAGAAATAGCAAATGTTTGATCACTGAATGTGAATTCTGCATTCTTATGCAATAGAAGGTTAACACATAATCAAAGGTAAACTTTATATGATTAGTGGCTGCTACAGTTACTTCCATACTTTATACCAACACCACACTGGCTATGCCAGAATTGTTTTACTTCATCATTTCTGATTAAATGTATGGGAATATAATTTACGTTGTGTGTTATTTGCAAAAAAAATATGGTATTCCTTCAGAGTTTTGGGCACCTTTCTAGAAACACTTTAAACACTAGGGTAAGACAAATATTCTTGATCAGGAAACAGACTCAAGTGTTATAATGGTATGTTTGAAATAGCACTGATCATTCTCTCACAATAACTAATAAAAATGTGAAAAACAATAGAGAGTACAAGTGATAGCTACCATTTCTCCCCAAATAGAACAGGCAGTAGAGGAGGCTCAACAACTGTGCTCCATCACTGGGAGACACTGCCTCAGAGTGCAAACACTGTTTGTCCCAGGAGGTTATCATTTTATCCACAGTGCAAAAGGTGGTGCAGAGGAGATGACGTGCACAAAGATGAGTTAGAAGGTAATATTATCAATGCTGTCTGTTTATCATCTAGCTAGGATTATTCTACTGTCTAATATACCTAAACTGGAACAACAGCATATAAAAGATTGACCGAACTCTAGTAGTTACATTAAGTTCCTGTAACTTTTCTCTTGAACATTAAGACTTTAATACTACAATAAAATAGTTTTGCAATAAAGCTGGCTGGCTGAGCATGTATAATGCTGCAGAGATGCTTCTGGGATGAATACCAAGGAGAGAAGCAGGAAGGAGAAAAGCTGCTGTACCAGGGTCAGGATAATGAAAACAACAACCTGGCTTCTTAGTGATGGCAGAAGAAAATATTCCCACCTCTACTGCTCTAAACCCAGATAAAAGGCCCACTGAATGAATGTATGTGTAATAAAAGGCAGCGATCTAGAGTTGCTTGAATTAAAAAAATAAAAAGACATGTTGTTATTGTTAGGTTCTGACTCATAGGGCCCCATGTACAGTAGAACAAAGCACTGCCTGTCATAGGCTCAAGGACATGGCATCGTCTTTCATAAAGTTAGTATCTTTGTGATTTTAGCATTATCCACTTTAGCTTTATGGATTAGCAACCAGAAAATTATACTTAGGCATTTCAGGTTATTTTGATTGACTACTTACTTATATTACCATATTAGATTTAAAAGACAAAATATGTATACAATACTCCTCAAATTTTATTAATTATAGCTCTGGTAGCGTAGTGGTTATGAATCGGGCTGCGAACCTCAAGGTCAGCAGTTCAAAACTACCAGCTGTTCCGAGGGAGAAAGATGAGGCTTTCTGCTCCCGTAAAGATTTACAGCCTCAGAAACCCTGTACAGGTGAGTCGGAACTGACTCCACAGCACATAACAACAACAACAACAATGAAATCTTATTAATTATACTCTTCCATTTTCTGAAGTTGTAAAACTTTCACAATCAAAAAGATAAAACAAACACTTTAAAGTTTTAGTATAATCAGAACTGAATAAGATACTGAGGGAGAAGCTTATTTTTGAGGAAAAATTCTAAAAATCACTGAAATATATTGTGAAATTTAAGTAATTTTAAGTACAATTTGTTTTATATAGCTCATCTGAATAAAAAATATGTAGTAGTGCTTTCTTGGCCAAAAAAAAAAAAAAATTACTTTGAAGAGAGAAAAAATTTACATACAACACACAATTTTAAGGGAGGAAAAAATCAGTTCTGATAGAAAACATCTCTTTCTCTTCTTCCTAGCCCAGGGCTAGGTGGTTACATCCCAGGAAATAACTCATGGATAAAAGTAGTGTCCAGGGTAGGCCCTTTGAGGGACGGAGTTGCTTGGTGACCCAAGTGGTAACAGAAGGGATAGGACAAACAAGGAGTCATCTAGTGCAGACTTTTCAATTGTTGAGATGAGTGTCCCCCTAGTCTATTCTTTAAATTCTCCAGGAGGACCACAAGTTAGGGCCACATCATTGCTCTTACTCCTTCTTCTTGAGTACACGTATTCCCAGACAAGGCAGTGACTAGTACTTAACACAAAAATAATAGACATTTGGATGTATACACAAACCAAGACAGAGACAACAAATTGAATTATTTTAGTAAGAAAAGAAGCATTTTTGGACCAGAAAAGAAATTTAAAAATAAATGATAATAAATCATTTTACAAAATGGGAGAACACTTAAATATAAAGCAGGAACAAAGTATCATAAAGGAAAAAGTCAGTTGGAAATCCCTGACAAAAAAATTAATAGTTGAAATAACATATGCAACTGATGGGCTGGGTTTGTTGCTAACTGCTCTTCAGTCAGCCTATATGTCACAAAGCAGAACACCCACTGGGTATGTGAGCTGTAATCTTTACCTAAAAGACATTCGTCCACTGTGCTGCTGGTTGGGTTTGAAACACCATAGCAGCCGACTGCCACCTAATTATGCCAGCCTGATATGATTGATGGTTTGGATAGGGGAACTGATAACAACCAAAGAATAAATTTGTGAGCATGATTATCAAGTTGAGAAATTCCCAAACTTGGTTATTTTGAGAGAAAGGAGGATGAGGAGAAAAAAAATATAAAAACAAAACCCAGAACAGGTAAGAATCAAAAGTACTAATAGTAAAAGTACTAATATTTGCACTACTATAGGAATCCTGGAGTCCTGGTGTGGCATTGTGGGTTAATGAGCCAGACCGCAAAGCCGTATGTATGAACTGCAAGGTTGGCAGTTCAAGCTCACCAGCTGCTCCTTGGAAACCATAAACAGAGTCGCTATGTGTGGGAACCGACTCTACAGCACTTAACAACAACATTAATGGGAATCCCAGGAAGAAAATAAACGGAGAGGAAAAAGTATATATTGAGAATTTTTCAGAAATAATGATAAATTTTACACTGAAACCTCTCAAAGTGGCAGAGTGTTTAAGAAGACTCTCACAGATATACTACAGTACAAATTTTAAAACAGAAACACAGAAAATTACGTCTAAAAAGAAGGATCAGATTAGTTGCTAAGATCAAGAGTCAGAGAAACATCTGACTTTTTAACAACAAACCAAGAAGTCAGAAGATATTGGGGGAATACTTTTAAATTAAGGAAGAAATAAAACTTCAAACATAGGTATTAAACTTGGTATGGAACTATAGAATAAGCACTGGGCTTGCTAACTACCAAGTTGGTGGTTCAAACCCATCAGTTACTCCTATAGAGGGTCACTATAAGTCAGAATTTACTGGTAGGCACTTTAAAACAACAACAAAACAGCACTTTAATATGAAGGTAACATAAAATATAGCTTTAAGCAGACAAAAATTCATAAGGTTTACCAAACCTCTAAAAAACTGCAGCAAGAAGGGAGCTAGATTCAAGAGAATTCTATGAAATACCAAAAGAAAAAAGTTAATTTAATGTATTTTAATATAAATAAGCAAAAACAAACAAACAAAAAACCGTTGGTGGCAATGTCTACCAACCAAAAGGTTGGTAGATCAAGCCCAGCAGCTGCTCTGTGGGAGACAAATGAAGCCTTTGGCTTCCACAAAGATTTACAGCCTTAGGGAGACTGTCCTATAGGGTCACTGTGATTAGGAATCAACTTGATGACAGTGGGGTTTTGACTGTTTTTTTAAAAGAAAAAAAGGGTTGAGTAAGTAGCAAAATCTATCCTGGTAAACCAAATTCAGAATTTTGGAGAACGTCAATATGGAGAGGATCTGTGGCAGGGTTAGGGAGTATGGTATATAAAAGAGGTGAAAATGTGCTGGGACACGACTTACACAAAGATTCTTAGAGAGTTGAGCAGTATCAAGTGTTGGTGGAAATAAAAAAGAGCCTTTATGAACTGCAAGTAAGTGATTCCGTTTACTTATAATCCAGAAACTGTTGGGTATGTAGTCTAAAGAAACACTGGCACAGGTCCTTAAGGTATCACATACAAGAAAGTTCACTGCACCAGTATTTATGCTATAGTTTAAGAAACAGATATCCACACTGGGGAAGTTAATAAGTTAATGTGGTAGATGCAGAGTACAAGGCAATGACTTTGTTGGCTAAACTTTAAATATACAGTAGAGTGAAAAAAGAAACAAAATGATATGATACTATTTGTTGTTGGTGTTATGTGCCATGGAGTCGGTTCCGACTCATAGCGACCCTGTACAGGGTTTCCGAGGCTGTGAATCTTTATGGGAGCAGAACGCCTCATCTTTCTCCTGCTGAACAGCTGGTAGTTTCGAACTGCTGACGTTGCAGTTCGCAGCCCAATTCGTAACCACTACGCTAGCAGAGCTCCTTATGATACTATTAGCATAAATTAAAAAGATAAATAAAACACTGTACCTTCAAGGGCAAATACTTATCTTAGGACATATATATACCAGAAAATGCTTATGGAGGGAGAAATGAGGATGGAGGCTAAAGGGAAAAAGTAACAAAAACTAAAGCAAGAATTCCCCATGGTCTATGTTCCTAGATTGAGAATGATACTGTCATGAACTAGACTAGAAGTTCCAGAGGGTAGCTATCCCATTTGATTGATTACCACTGGTCTGTCAGGACCAAGCATACTGCCTGACAAATAGTGAGGTTTCTAATATTTTTAAATGAGTGAATGATGATCAATTTGACCCACTGCACCTAAGCAGTCGCCATAAATGAAGAAAAACTTTACTGGACTATATGTTAAGAAATAAAACAAATGTGTTTTGTGACTATTAAGTAGCCAAATTAGAATGTATAGACCTAATTTGGGGGAGAGGAGGGAAGCAGGTGAAAAGCCCTTGCTACTTACTGAAATAATTCAGTGGATTTTGAAACACAGAGTAAGATAATCTTCCCAGAAGGAGGAAATCTTGCCCCTCCCTAAATCAATACATAAACTGAAAGGTCACCTCAATGTTAAACAGATGGTCCATTGTGAAA